TTTCAAATAGGTCAGCAATTTCCCATCCTATAGGTTGCTAGATGTATTTAACCCTTTCTCCTGTCTCCCTCTCTCAGCACAAGAACCCCAGGGGGATTCAACGGAGCCTGAAAACCTGCAATGAGACCCTCACCCTGAGCCTGAGTCTCAACTCCCAGAGCTTTGCAAGCCTCTCCCTGTTCCTTATTTTGATTAAACAGACGTTAAGCTTCCCAATGGTGTGTTCTTCGTTTTGTGAAAAATATGATTACCTCACATATGTTGTTGCTGTTGTTGTCTTTTGTGATGGTTAAATTGCTCCTGCTGACTTGAGCCAGCCATTCTTTCCTCCTCTCTGTGTCAGTGGGGAAACCTTACATTTGTACTTCTTTCTCTGAGCGATTGGAGCATCCCCAGGCAGCACAGCAAACCATGGGGGAGACGATATGCCAGGACAACACGGAGGAAAAGGCACAGACAAACTGCATGATATGCTATTCAATGTTTATTGAATTCCATTTATTTACAATGGATGTTCCAAAAACAACACATTTAACATCAACATCATGCTGCTGCTAGTGCTTTGACTCAGTTGACAATCATTGATAGGCACCTGTGGGTCTCCTGTCCTTTCTGAAAGTCATAAAGATTACATTAGTCATTTAGATTACTTATGTCCTCAATTACCAGGGGATTACTGAAACCACCATGAATTAAAGAAATGGTAGAAATGTATCTAATCAGAATTTTGAAACCTTCCTTCCCTCCCTCTAAATATATCAATAAACATTAGGATGTGATGCTCCTGACTACCATACAGGTTTAAGAAGATAATATTTGTTTTAAAGAATTCAAAGCAATAAACAACAGGCTCTTTAACCAAGGCAACGTTAGCCTAACATGTATATGTTAACAGGTAAGATAGCTGTTCACACTATGTATATTTTTCTACTTTTTGTAATGCTATTTTATTTTTATTTTATTTATTATAAGATGTTTACATTTTCGATTGTTTAATTATAGTCTTTTAACTGTCTAATGTACAATGCCTTGTCTTTTGCTGCTGCATCGTAAACATTTCCCCAATTGGTATCAATAAAGTACTTCTTATTTTATCTTAATCCTCAAATATTAGCAAATGTTACTTTAAAAAAAATAAAAACATTGATGTAACTACATACACATATCGATATGTTGTATAAATATTGCAAATCAAAACCTTTATTCACCACTAATTGCCAACAATTGCATTTCTATCCTGGTATTAATGCATTCAAATTGTGATTCAAATGGCCCGCCACGAACTTCCGGGGAACTATTGAGTCTCCCTGAACATCCATGCCTGAACCACGTGATGATCAAGCATTTTGGACCTCCGTTGTCGCAACTCTTCTCTATATGGCGCTGGCAATAACTAACTCTTAACTTGATGAATCCAGAACAAGTAGAGCTTAAAATATTTGTATTATTTTTATACTTTATACAAAGCTTATTTGTATAGGAATGTCACTGGTGTTACGTGTTACCAGGAAGAAGAGTAACACCAGTGACGGTAACACCAGTGACAATTTGGAGAAAACACTACCATTTTAACAAAATGGCTGCAATGTGTCAGACCAAATATGGCTTCAGTCAATATCAAAATCGTTTACAGTAACTCTTCAATACAATACATGTTCCCATTCAAATGTTCACCCCTAGGGCTATGCAATGAGTAACACTAATTACAGACTTGAAAGACGCATGTAAAATTTGAAGATAAAATGACACATTTAACAAACAAAGTAAGAAGTATCTGACTTTCCTTATGTCTTTGTGTCCACTGCACTGCCTCAAATGATCTCTTGTTACAGGAGGCACTTCAGAGACAGTACATTATTTCAAAAATAAAAGCGTTTTGTGTAGCAGTAACACCAATGACGTAATTTTGGGTGACTGACATTTATTTGATATTATTAATAATAATTTGCGTTTTTTTTATAACATTTCAGTGTTATATTTAATGCTTGTAATGTTATGTAAATATAAATTAGATTTATTGAAAAGAAAATCTTTTAAATTAAAACTATAGGCTCCACTTCCATGTATGATCAAAGTGACAAGGCAGTTCCTTGAACTTGACATTTTAAATACATTTACGTATAAAACCATTTTTTATTTATTTAGTACCATTGCAAAGACAATCTCTATTTATTCAACATATATAATGAATGTGAGTATTAGGTCAACGTCATGTATTTTGGTGTCTGCAAAAGTAAGTGACAGCACTTCCACCTTTTCTGTAGAATGACCCATATAATGTGACATATTTTGCTTAATATTTGGAGTACAAAAACAATCCGGATATCATTAGAAAGCTATGAATCTCCTCTTTCCAACAGTGTATACAACTCAAAATGTGTCTTCGGGTTAATGCGACTGATTTCGATGGAGCAGGTCACATATATACCGCCCCAATATGTGCCCAGTCTTCCTGAAAGAACTTAATAATAATAATAATAATAGCTTCGATTTCTATAGCGCCTTTCAGGGGACCCAAGGTCGCTTCACAAGTAATAGTGCAAAGACAAACATAACAAAACAAAAGACAGACAAACAGAACAACAGATCGATTTAGGGGCCGAAAGCCTTGGCAAACAGATGGGACTTGAGGGCCCTTTTGAAGGCTTCAAGTGTGGGGAACTTGCGCTAAGCTTCATTTTTGCAGCAGAGTGCAACACAAGCTAAACAATGTGTAACTATATAATCCTTTGAGACTGAGTAGAACATTGTTGCTGACACAAGTGTTATAACATCTAGCCAGATACTATATAGGTATAAGCCATGTGCAGTGTCTTCAAAACTACACCTTATTGGTCCATATCTCATCTTCTCACTGGTAACCACTAGCAACAGCCCTCAGCAACACCACCCCTTACAATTATCAATTATTTCAGGGCTTTGATGATGAACAAGGAGGGAGGAGAAGAGATGTAAAATAGCTGACATTTAATCATCTGTATTATCATCAGGTGTAACAGATAGGTTGCTGGAGCACTGGACTGATTATTGGATTACTGGATTTCTCAAAACGTGGAAGCACTTCGGATCGAATCACCATTTACCATTTTGACAATGATTAAATCCTAAAACTAGTGAAAAACATACACATTATGTTTTGTGTTAGATTCAAAAGCAGGGTTTGTTATCCAGGTATCCAAGTAATATAATTAACAGTAGGTTTCTAAGCCTAGTCCACTCCAAGCTTTGCACCTGTATCACATGCGTTACGAGGGATGATGATTCAGTGTTGCATTAGTAAACCCCACTGTGACAGGTCTGTGGTGCAGACACATGGAGGCTCTCAAGCATTGAACATTAGGTCATGTTGACCTAATGGTTGTGTCATGCAGAGGTAGCGTCAACTAAGTGAGCTGAACATCCTCCAGCTGTGTATTAGTTGCACAACCATGTTGAGCCAGCTGGTTTCTACCCATGCATTATCTTAGTATTCACACATGTGTATATGCCTATCATTTATGACTGTCTAATGTCTATGGATAAATTAATGTGCACTAAAGCTCTCCTATAATATATCTAGGCTGTAAGCAGAGGTATAATTAGAATGTTATTCACTCACAGCATCCAACCCTGCTGTAGCTTAGGAGATCTACTTTAGCTCTCAAGCACTGGAACTGCATAGACACAAATTAACATTATTTATGATAGTGCTCAACCCTAGCTCTTAAATGCGTCACACATGCATGACACAAAGCACAACAAGGTATTTAAAGTGAACATACTAAGAAGAAACAACAACACAAATAAATAAATGATTTGACCTCTTAAAATAACATCCATCCTTATTTTAAGGTTATCATCTTATTTCACAGTCCTGCCTGCCTGTATGATATAATATAATGTTCTGTATCAGTTTCTTCCAACATTACGAAGATACAGTCCATGATAATTGCCAGTGTATTGCAAGCCCAGAGCTAAATGTACTTCCTGTCAGCATACAAGATTGAAAAAAAAAAAATGCACATTTATGATGTCTTTTAAAATAAAGAGTGTTACTCAAGATTCTCACTTTTTAAAGGGATTTGTGTAGGTTTTGATTTGTGTGTGTGTGTGTGTGTGTGTGTGTGTGTGTGTGTGTGTGTGTGTGTGTGTGTGTGTGTGTGTGTGTGTGTGTGTGTGTGTGTGTGTGTGTGTGTGTGTGTGTGTGTGTGTGTGTGTGTGTGTGTGTGTGTGTGTGTGTGAGTATGATTGCAAGTATGCATTTAACAGTAACATTACAGCTGTGTACAGTTTATTGGTCGGTTAACAAATGCTACCATTCGGTTTTGATTCCCACCTGCAGATTTTAGTAAAAGGGGTAGTCCTGAAATGTCTCACTTTAGGTTACCTTTAATGTGGACCGGCTAGTACCATAGTAACAAGACACTTTTGAACTCACCACTCTGCAGTTAGCTTTAGCGCACTGTCTGAGTCCGTAACGTGCTAAAATCTGGCAAGAATATTAAGTAACACCCGTAATTGTACTGATTACAGATCTATTGTTGAATGTGACAAAGAAACAACTCTGCGTTCGTCCCAGACAGGACTGGAGTGAGGCAGCAATCACAATTAGCTATACATTATTTAAAAATAATTGCTAAATTATCGGCAAAAGTAAGTAACTGTTGTTATGGGCCAAATTACGATGATTGTGCAGCTCTTTTTTAAACATATTAGGTCACTTCACATTTACTGAATGTACTTTCCAAAGAAAAAATTACGAGAAGAAAAAAAAAAGTTTTGTGGTTGGTGATTTATTAGGACTCAGAAGCAGTTGATATGTATTTTATGAATTGATTGATTCATTTATTGATTGCGCTATATATACTTTTTTCAAGGGTAGTTTGCCAACCTTACAATTATGACATTTTATTAATTTTGGTCATTGCCGTAGCCTTCTCTCTCCTCATATCAATAATTCTGTCTTGTCTATCTGATTAAGATGTATCACTAAATAAAACTCTTTTTGTGATTTCACGCAGATGTTTATTTTTCACCAAGTGACCATCACAGTCCCGGAGAATTTCACCCAGTGCACCACCCACGGCAGCTTTGTCCAGCACTGGCAGGAGACCCTCTACAACATTTTCAACTTTGTGTGCCTCTTCCTCCTGCCTCTGGTCATCATGATCTTCTGTTACACACGAATCCTCATCGAGATATCCAGCCGCATGGCCCAAAATAACTGTAAGTGACTCGTTTCCTTCAAAATCTTTAAAAAGATAAAATATGTTTTCTGATACCCAAGGAGCCGACAAATATGGTGTTTTCTCTTCTTCCAGTGCTGTCTAGAGATATTCATCTCCGCCGCTCCCACAACAACATCCCCAAGGCTCGGATGAGGACTCTTAAGATGAGCATCGTCATCGTGACTTCATTCATCGTCTGCTGGACCCCGTATTACATGTTAGGCCTGTGGTATTGGTTATTTCCTGATAAAATGGAGGAAATGGTTTCTCATTCAATGACGCATATGCTGTTTATCTTTGGTCTCTTCAACGCCTGTCTGGACCCAATCACGTATGGTCTCTTCACCATTCATCTTCACAAGGGTCTTAAAAGATGTTGTCCAACTTTCATCAAACGGACTGAATTGGAAAACAACACTTGCCTTGTACAAATGAATCGCCTGTCGTCTCACAGGCAGATGGTCTCTAGTAGTCACAATACAGACACTGAAGGAAACCACAGCATGAAAAGGCCAATCATCCCAGTAAGCAAGATCTAATGGCTTGACGAATTGCAATGAAAGGAATGAAAGGAATGAAAGGAATATTCCAGCACTGAGTTTAGTCTTTCTCCAGATACAGCCAGTTTTATGATGTTGCTTAGAAAATATGAAGCTCCTTTCGCAGACAAATCTGTTTGTTTCCGTTGCAATGATGTAATCGATTGAGTATTATTGCTTTGCCTTGGTTTTCTCCTGCATCACTGATCAGATTTGACAAAAAGCTGCAGAGTGGTGCATGAAGTCTTTTCCCCCTGTAATTGGCTGAGGGTCACCCTGTACATCACACAGAATATCTCACACACTGCTGATCCAATATTCCTATGAAGCTTAAGGGCTTGTGGGAAAATAATCAGGCCCAAATGATGACAAATCTGCTTGAAGTTCCTATAAATGGATTTAAAATGTCTTTCACAGATATTTTCTAGCATCTTTCGGATAAAAGTCCGTAAAAGGACTTTGATACACAGTTTGAAAGGCAGTCACACTCGTGGACACACACACATTTGGGCTTTACTAAGTGGATCTCAAAATATCCTGTAAGAAACAGCAGAAACAAATATGTGTGCATTTGATTTAAGATGATCAAAAATATAATATGCTGTCTGTTGTGTGGCTTCTCTTTTATGTTTACATGTTATGTGTCAAAATGTGTACATTGTTGTTTTATTGGGAGTGTTTGCCCTACAGTAAACTGCTGCTGTTCATTGCTTATTGGAAACTGCTCTAATGTAATTTGTAATGTTGTGTTTGCGATATAAAAGACTGTGATTTTCTTTCATTACAAACCTTATGACATGAACATTATCGACCACAAAGGCCTTTTAAATAAATGTTTAGGCATACAATTCCATGTATTGAATGCACCTGAGCTGCATGTTGTTGATTGACTGTGTAAATTGTCTAAGATCATTTGCTGTGTTGCACAAATCACACTGGAGTCAAAACGTTATGAAATACTCGGAAATGACCCATAATGCCATTTGTTATACTTTATATTTCTATTTGTGTTGGTAGTGTATTATGTTGTGGATTGTATTGCTTTGTGAGACCAAAAAAACTGCTTAATTGAAAACATTGGTATTGTAAGGTTAGCAGTAAACAATAGTTTTTCTAATATGTAGGTGCAAAAAAGAGAGATCAATAGGCTAGCATTTGTTTGTTTGCATGATATCGTTTATTTCTTGCAATGTATGGAAGATGTTGTGATGTATACTTGCAATTTGTGGAATACAAAAAAACTGCCTCTATTCCATGCATTGGGTGAAGCACAAACAATGAGCTGCCTTTTACTGAGAACGGCTGCATTTATAATTACCTGGAATATCTATATCAGAGGAGACTATTTGCAATGGCTAGAAGCAATTGGCATTTCTTGGTATCTCAATACACAAACCTAAAGTCAAGACCACAGACATTACTGATATAGATCCACTGAATAACTTTCTTTTTCCTATACAATTATATTATGTTACTTACCCTTTGCCATTTAGGCATTATGGCCACATACCAACACGATTGTTGAGTGGCTCTAGTAGACAAATGGACATGATCTGTAACATTTGTTTTTCTTTATTTTTTGAATATTGTTGTGCGTAGACGGCTCTGCTAAGATTGTTCCCTAGTTTAGGTTTCATGTTATGTGTTCCTGTTTTATTTTGATAGTCTTGTCTACCCTCATGTGTCTAAAGTACGTTTCCTGCCTTGTCTGTTTTCCCGCTGTTGTGATTGTCTAATTGTCTTCACCTGGTGTTGTTTGTCTAGTATATATAGTTCTCGTCTTCCCCTGTCTCGTTGCCAGATTGTCTTGTGAGTTCCAAGCCTTCCAGCGTAAGATCATTTTGTCATTGTCCGTAGAGTTATTATCGTCCATAGAGTTAGATTAAGTAAGTAGTTTTTGTAGTTTTTTGATAGTATAGGTTAGACAGTTTATTGAGTGTTTGTTTTGTTGCTTTATGTATTCAGTGTTCTGACCTGTCTACATTAAAACACTTTATTTTGATACTTTGTTTGTCTCTGCATCGTGCATTTGATTCCACGCCCTTGTACAGCCTTAACAAATATTCAAACAGATACCGTCCCCCAAAACAAAAAAGGTAGTTCAGTAATTATTATTTTCTGAAGTGTGGTCCATTAAGTTGCCATTGTGGAGCCTTCAATCATATCGCTGATGGAGATCGCCACGTCATTGTCATGGAATAGTAGATGTTCAAATGTCCAGGACTTCTCCTCGATGTGAGCAATTCTGGCAGCTGCTGATAGAGATCATGCAATATGATGGAAAACACCAGAGCAGCTTTTATAAATGAACCTGCCGGTGACTTTTCAAATGCTATTTCCAAGGTTATGAATGAACACAGTTATCTTGTCTCTAACACTGCTAACATTTATTTTTGATTCAGCATTCAACATTGAGATCAGGCCACCCTCTGCAAGCCTAGAGAGGAATAACACTCATTGATAATAAGACAATTTTGTTCTCTGACTATCTAAGAATTTTTGAAAAGCTATTAAATTGAAATGAAATGTCCTACAGTGACAGGATACCATATCAAACCACTCTTTCACTTTGTTTAATTGGGGATTTAGTTGGATTCAGAATTCCTTTGTAACCATTAGGATTATCTCTTCTTCTGTGTTCACTGCCAAAAAAGTGATTCTTCCAAAAGTAATTATTAGGAATGTGTAAAATGAAAGTGCTACCGAGGATTATATCGAGATATTAAATATTGTTATCTTTCATCAGTTAATCTCAAGTGTAATTTCATTGTGAGAGATATTCATGCAAAGCTGCTTAAACTACAAATGTTGTCATTTTCTACAGATATACACCAGAGCTGCTATCTGGATAATGAAGTGTTATTTGGTGTTATAATGAGCATTTCCATTCACCAGATGTGAACCACTTGTGTTTTAGCATGATCTACATTTTACACTACCCACACTTGTTGAACACTCTTTGCTTGTAATCACTACAAAGCTAAGAGGATGATGACTCATGTGACTTGCTGAAATGTATGAAATATAATCAATCAATCAATCAATGTTTATTTATATAGCCCAATATCACAAATGTTACATTTGTCTCAGTGGACTTCACAGTTTGTACAGAATATCAGTATGATAATACGACACCCTCTGTCCTTAGACCCTCACATCGTACAAGGAAAAACTTCCGGAGAAAACCCACAGTTTAAAGGGAAAAATGGGAGAAACCTCAGGGAGAGCAACAGAGGAGGGATCCCTCTCCCAGGACGGACAGACGTGCAATATAATTGAAAAGTGTGTAAATTGAAAAGATAATACATTTGCCACATAGGTACTCCAAATGTTTGGAAATGCATGTGTGTATAATAGGAAGATGAATCCACGAGGATATCCATCCAGGAATTATGATCCAGGACCACAGCAATAGGCACAGCCACGACTCAAGATCCAGGGCTCGCGATCCAGGACACAGGACCGCAGCAACAGGATCATCCATGACTCCGGATCCCGGCGTATATATAGACACCAAAAAGAAAGACATTTGGGGAAGCTGGATTAATCGGAACATGAGAGTACACAGGTATAGACAGAGAGAAGGAAGAAGTAAGATGTCCCCCGACAAACTAAGCCTATATCAGCAAAACTAGGGGCTGAATCTAATCAGCCCTAACTATAAGCTTTATCAAAAAGGAAGGTCTTAAGCGCACTCTTAAAAACGGATAGGGTGTCTGCCGCCCGAACACAAACTGGAAGCTGATTCCACAAATGTGGAGCTTGATAAGAAAAGGCTCTGGCTCCCATTGTACTTTTAGAGACTCTAGGAACAACCAACAACCCTGCATTCTTGGAACGCAATGCCCTAGTAGGACAGTAGGGTATAATGAGTTCTTTAATGTAAGATGGCGCCTGCCCATTAAGGGCTTTGTAGGCGAGAAGAAGAATTTTAAATTCTATCCTGTGTTTTATAGGGAGCCAGTGTAAGGCAGCCAGAACAGGAGTAATGTGGTCCCTTTTCCTAACTCTGGTTAGTACACGAGCTGCAGCATTTTGAATCAGCTGAAGCAATTTACAGTAACTGACTTCTTGGTACACCCTGATAATAAAGAGTTACAATAATCCAGCCTAGAAGTAACAAATGCATGGGCTAGTTTCTCTGCATCGTTTTGAGGTAAGATATGCCTGATTTTTGCAATGTTACATAGATGAAAGTAGGCGGTCCTTGAAATTGATTTTATGTGGGTGTTAAAGGATCAATCCTGATCAAATATAACACCAAGATTCCTTACAGTCTCACTGGATGCCAAATTAATGCCATCCATAGTTAGTATATCTTTAGATAATTTGTTTCGTAGATTCTTCGGACCAAGTACAATAACTTCAGTTTTGGTCGTGTTTAACATCAAAAAGTTTAAGCTCATCCACGTTTTTAAGTCCTTGAGGCAGTCTTGAATTTTATTTAGATGATTAATTTCATCAGGCTTGATTGATAAATATAGTTGAGTATCATCCGCATAACAATGAACATTTACAGAATAATTCCTTATAATATTGCCTCACGGAAGCATATATAATGTGAACAAAATAGGTCCGAGCACTGAGCCCTGTGGCACTCCATGGCTAACTTTGGTTTGCGTGGAAGATTCATCGTTTACACGTACAAACTGAGAGCGTTCAGATAGATAGGACTTAAACCAGCCTAAAGCAGTTCCCTGTATGCCAACTAAGTGCTCTAGTCTTTGCAATAAGATATCATGGTCGATAGTATCAAATGCAGCACTGAGATCGAGCAAGACAAGAATAGAGACAAGTCCTTTGTCTGAGGCTATTAGAATGTCATTTGTGACTTTAACCAGAGCTGTCTCTGTGCTATGATGTGTTCTAAAGCCAGACTGAAAATCTTCAAATAAATCATTGTTTTTTAAGTAATCAAACAACTGTTTTGCGACCGCTTTCTCAAGAATTTTTGAGAGGAACGGAAGATTAGAAATAGGTCTATAGTTGGCTAAAACCTCTGGATCGAGGTTGTGCTTTTTAAGAAGCGGTTTTATCACTGCTACTTTGAATGATTGTGGAACATAGCCTGATAATAAAGACATATTCATAATATTTAATAAAGAAGTGCTAATTAATGGAAAAACTTACACGTTGATGGTTTAGAAGAGAGAATCATTGAATTTAATTGTTCAAGGTTTATGGCTGAAAAGCATTCTAGTTTACTATCTAGTGTAATATTAGAACTTACGTTTCCCGGGAGCTGTTGATAACACTATACTGGTCAAAGGCAAGAGGTCATTAATTTTGTTTCTAAGAGTAACAATTTTATCGTTAAAAAAGCACATAAAATCATTACTACTGAGTGCTATGGGAATAGAAGGCTCAATCGAGCTGTGGCTCTCTGTCAGCTTGGCTACAGTGCTGAAAATAAATCTTGCATTATTCTTATTCTCATCTATTAATGAAGAGTAGTAGGCTGCTCTCGCTTTACGCAGTGCTTTCTTATATTCATTGAGAGTAATATGCCACATTAAACGAGATTCTTCAAGTTTAGTGGAACGCCATATCCTTTCAAGTCGTCTCGACTTTTGCTTTATATTGCGAGTTTCGGCATTATGCCATGGAGCTAATCTATGTTGTTTTATTTTCTTCTTTTTCAAAGGAGCAACAGAGTCTAATTTTATTCGCAGCGCATCTGTAGCACTATCAACAACATGATCAATTTGGGGTGGTGTACATTTTGTATACGTTTCCTCCCTTACATGCAGACATGCTATCGAGTTAAGTATTGGTGGAATCTCTTCCTTAAATTTGGCTATAGCACTAACAGATAGGTTTCTGCTGCAGGAGCTTTTGACTAATGCTTTGTAGTCTAGTAACAGTACTTCAAAAGTTACTAAGAAATGGTCGGATAAAGCAGGATTATGCGGTTCGACTAATAGTTGCTCAATTTCAAAACCACAAGTCAGAACAAGGTCGAGAGTGTGATTATAGCAGTTGGTTTATTTACACTCTGACGAAAACCAACAGAATCTAATATAGAGTTAAATGCAACAGTAAGGCTATTTTTATCATCGTCAACATGAATATTAAAGTCATCTACGATAATTACTTTATCTGTTTTAAGTACCAAAGTTGATAAAAACTCAGAGAATTCTGATAAGAATTCTGAATAAGGACCTGGTGCACAGTACACTGTAACAAATAAGATTGGCTGCAAAGTTTTCCAGGTCGGATGCGTAAGACTAAAAACGAGGCTTTCAAAGGAGGTATAATTTAATTTTGGTTTAGTATTGATAAGTAAACTTGAGTCAAAGATTGCTGCAACTCCAACTCCTTGGCCTGTGTCTCGAGCAATATGAGTATTGATATGGCTGGGTGGAGTGGCCTCATTTATGCTGACATATTCTTCATGTCTCAACCAAGTTTCAGTGAGACAGCATATATAAATATTATAATCTGATATTAAATCATTTACCAATATTGCTTTAGATGCTAGATATCTCATGTTTAAGAGACCACATTTAATCTTCCTATTTTGTTGCACTGTAGTAGTTGTTACATTTACTTTTATTAGGTTATTATGTATGACACCTCTATTAGGTTTTACCTTAAATTGTCCTTGGGCAGACACACACACCGTTAATATTG